GGTAGAAAAGCCCAATACGTATTGAAAACGACTGTATCTGTACGGCTTTCCAAAGTGCATCATTTTGAGAACTTTGAGGAAAACTGAACTCGCATTCCAGCTACTTGTTCTCTGCATTGCCCCCTTCCCGGCAAGTCGCCGTATTTTCTGCAACTTACCCAAAAGGTTTGGACCAGGTGCTATGCAGATTCATGCGTAACGCCTCACTGATACGTTTGAATTCTGGTAAGTGTATGACCACAAATCTGCTTACTGTAAAGTGAGCATTTCGGCTGATGTTGTCATTTATAGACGATGTACAACTTATCGGAATCAAGCAGTACGCTTTATTGTGTGATGGAGCGGTATCCAGCTGTCTTGTTCGCCTCTTGAAGACAGTTCAATTCAGTCAAGCCTTGATCTTCTGCAATCTACATCAGCAGTAAGTGTGTAGATATATAATGAATCCTAATAAATGATGACAATCATAAACTTGGATAAGTGTTCCGTCTGCTTTGTGCATTGCCATCTTACAAGGAAAAGAAGTTTAGTTGAAGTGGTCTTTTGATATAACATGGATACTGGCTTAATGAGTATGAAATGCTGATTCCAAATATACCTTCCTTATCTGCTGCGGGTCCCTGATTGAGGAATTATGAAGTTTTTTATAGCAAAAATTTACATGAGCAGCTGATAAAATTAGTCGTAACATTTTTTCTACGCTCGACTGGTTTCCAGTTACTCTTCGAAGCGGATATTCTCAAAACGTATCTACTTAACTCCGCCACTTTGGAACGTCAGGTAAAGAAGGACTTTATTTACATTGATCATGCATTGAATTTTTTGTCCATAAAAACCTTCAAAACTTCTTGCTGAAAAGCCCGCAGCAGATAAGAAAGGTATATTTGAATTCAGCGTTTCACGCCTTAAAGTCGGTATACATCTCATACAGAAAGGCAACTTTGACTAATCTTCCTTTCCTTGTTAGTGCACAGTGTATAGAGCATTTGAAAAATAGTGACGATGGCGCGACCGCACGCGACATGCACGCACTTCCGACGACTCACTATCTTAGTCTTTATCTCTACTTCACTGGTTTTTTCTGCTCACGTATGATAAGTGTTGAGGTGATGCCTTTTGTATGCTTGTTTCACGTGCTGCTGTCCGCGTAAATACCGCGGTCACCGTCGTCACATCTTATAAATGACCTTAGAACTTAGTAAGTTCGACGGCCATATTGCTCGGCATCGCAACGGATTTAGTGGGCTGTAGCTGTACAAAATTCCAGCGCAGAAAATCTTTAGGCTGGGTACATACTAATCCGTAAGCTAAGGAACACTTCCAGCACAACGCGCAGTCCGAGCGCTGGAACTGTTCTGGTTACGTCTCGATTCATACTGATCCGGAACGGTTCCAGCACAGCGCTCAGACTGTGCAGTGTGCTGGAACTGTTCCCAAACATACGGATCAGTATGGAACCCGCTTTATTCATATTGTCATATTGGATTACGGCATCGTATCTCATTGATTGAAGTGTTTGTCTTGTCTCGATACGACTTTGATTTCCAGCTGTGAATCTATCCGCCAAGTCTTGGAAGATGCTGGGTTTATGGCTGCATCGATTTCTGCCCAAATTTCACAAAAGGATCGCTGTGATATCATTGAGAGGCTGAAGCAGAACAAGTTGAAAGTTCTTGTTTCAACAGATTTGGTAAGCACTGTAATGATGGAATCGGTTTAGTAACTTATCTCCTCCTAGACGGCGCGTGGAATAGATGCGTCTAATGTAAACCTTGTTGTTAATCTCGAAACGGCAATCAATGCGGAGACCTATTTCCACAGAATTGGAAGAGCTGCACGATATGGTGCGATTTCGATGTGCGTACTTTACCAGCTGTCGAATCAAAAGAGATTCATTCGTGTTGCAGGAGGTTATGGTGCAGCAGTAACCTTACTCGCTGATCACCGTGAGTTCAGCCGCTTTAAAGCAATGGTGATGAAAAGTGGAATCAACGTTTGCTTGATGAGTTCAGCGGCTCCTCCCGATTTGACAACGAATCATTCGTATTTTGAACAATGTTCCAAATTTTCGTCGGTACAGGTTAGTCTGAGATTTTCACTCCTGTATGAATTCAAAATGGATAAACGTCTCACATCATCAGAACGCCTGGACTTTACATCTCGTTCGCTAACGTGCTCTCTAATCATTTTCTAGGCTTAATTAACGATTAAAGCTCCCTTTCCCGCTCAGGTGTGGGTAAATGATCAGAACGAACGCTCACGAAAGGTGCAGGCTCAAGCGAGGCGGTCGCTGGGATCTGAGCCGCAGGAGCACATGGTCCCGGTCAGACTCCACTTAGAAGCGCCAAAGAGCGCTTAGATCTCCAACGTCTCTTCACTTTCACGTGTGAGGAGAAATGAGAACAAGTGGAGAGAGGTTAAAGAAGTTTGGGCGCTGTGAGCGCTTTAAGGCACTTTTGTACAAAGTCTGGCCGGGGCCCATCACTTTAATGATGCAGAGATTATAGTGGACGTGTTTCGAAAAGTTTAGTACTTACTTGAATGTTCTTGCGCTGAAATTGGCAACGGCTTTTACTAACATTCTATTCATCTGTCTTTGTACAGGAGCAAAAATAGTATGGCGTTATCGAGTGTCTGAATTTTCCTTGCTGTGAACCGAAAAACGCATCCGAACTATGAGAATAGAGTTTGATGCATTCTTTAGGTTACTGCTGCTACGAAAGAAGGCAAGCATTGTTCGCACAATGACCAGCTCCATATCACTCCTTCTTCGAATAAGTTCGTTCTTAA